CAGAGTTTAAAACAAATCGTGGCCGTGTAACCCTAGTCAAAGTCAATGGTCAAGCACTCATCCAATGGCTCACGTGCTTCGTCCCTAAAATTCAAACTGATAGAGGGAACTCTCCAGACGGTGGCCTGAGCTGCAGCGCCACCGTCTTCTCCGACGAAGTGGTGTCCACAGTTCATCAATAATAACAAACCAATACTCAATCTCACTCAATTTTCTCTCCTGAATCCAAATCCAATCTCCAAATTCACTAATTCTTTCTCTAACTTAAAATTCGATCATACTTTCAGAAATGCCCCAAATCTTGATCATCTTAATTCTCAACAATAATGGTACTAATGGAAACTACACTCATCATAGATCACAATCCACTATCCAAACATGATTATATCTTCAAGAATCTTGAGATATCAACCTCAACAAAAAGTGCACTACACCTAGAATTGTCTCTATCCATCAGTTTCTTGTACCAAAATCCATCTATGTCCTACCAAGAACCTAACCACATGCAAGTTTCTATGCATCTCCCTATAGATTAAGCAGAATTTTGATTGGTACAAACCTGGTTTCAGATGAAGAACAGGTACAATTTCTGCTCGATTCTTCCTCCAAGCTTGTCCAGAATCACTCCAAATTCACTCCTAAAGCTTTTGCACACCTTGATTTGCTCTGAATCTTCCTCAATCTCAGAATCCGATTGTGAGTTGCAGCTCTGCAAAATCGATCCCTTGCTCTGGTTTCCACTTCAATCTTCTCCAAAAAAAGCTCTGAACTCACTCAACTAGTTATATAGAAGTGAATGGAAATGTCTAGAAACTTCTGTAACCACCCAAATGAGATTTTCAATTTCAATTTCTCTTTCAAAATCTCATGTGCACAGTCATGAATCCAGCTCTGTTTGGGCATGAAAACACTTGTAATCTTCATCTCATGAGATATTGAATTGATTGGTTATGATCATTTCCTTGTTTGCCATCTAATGGTGTGAATTTGATATGTTACTTCATCATGAAGCAACAAAACGAAATGGCATGAATTTGACCTCAAACCAAAAATGTAATATTGCCATTGTTTCTAAAATGACTTTTCCAATCAATTTGACCTATAATTTTGCCTTGTTTGGACACAAATCAATTCATTTCAATTTTTGGTCATTAAATGCCTTTAATCCTTCTTTTTTCACAACTCCTTGAACCAAGTCCTTCCTTGAGCCATTCTAATGTCTCCTTGATACATGTTCAAGGTTAAAACCCCATTTTGAGAAACTTTCAAGTTGAACAAAATTTCATTTGAGGTGTCTAAGTTGGTGAAAATGACCTATAACCAAAAATGACCTATAACCATAACTTCCCAAAATACCCTTGACTTGTCAAAGCCATAACTTGAGTTCTACAAATCCAACCATGGACTTATAGCACTATTTAGAAAGCTAAGAGAATTAAGAACAACATTCATGTTGACCAAAAGTTCATAGGAATCATCCTTCTAGGGCAAAAGTGTCATGCAAGTTGGGTAACTTTCAAGCTCCAAATTCACATACCTCAGATGACTTGTAACTTGTCTGGATCATAACTTGAGTTCTATGAATCCTATCAAGGACTTCTAGTACTCAAATTAAAGCTAAGATCATGCCTTACAACAATCATGTTGGGGTCAAGATGATATGACAATCATATCTTGAGCTACATTGCCTTGAAGACATGGGTCAAACTAGGGGATTTTACACTGTCAAGTCTTAGAAACCCTAGCCTGAAACTTCTCAAACTCTTCAATCATGATGAGTTAACCTTGGAATCATCATTATAACATCTAAATGTATCAATCCATGATCACATGGCTCTTGAATTAGGTCTCAACCTCCTTCAAATCCTCAGTTGACTTAGGGTTGACCCAGTCAAACCCTAGCTGCACCAATCATGGCTGAGGCTTCTTATTCTTGCACAATGACCTGTCTAGGCCTCAAAGTGATCTTCAACACTTCTCATGAGCTCTATCAAAACCTCAAGTCTAACTTCATGGCTTCAGAATCATCTGATGGCTTCCCACAACTCTCAAGTTAGGAGACCCACACACTTGGTTTCAATCACTCTCTCTGAGGATCTTTTAATTTCTCTGACAAGGATATCAACCCTTGAACACTTGAATAACCTTCTTAGCTAGCCTTGTATAGCTCTTGATTGGTAATCATACCTCTTGATCTCCTACATACATGTCAATGAATTGCAAATGATAATGCTAATGTGAATGAAATGAAACATAAGCTAGGTAAAGAAATGTTGGTCAAATTTTGGGGTGCAACAACAGGTTGCATGAAGCCATGTATAGACTTAAGCAAGCTCCAAGAGCTTGGAATAAGAAGATAAATAGCTTTTTAAGGGAGAAGGAATTTGTAAAGTGCATAACTGAGCATAAATTATATGTAAGCATAAGCAATAATGAATTTCTTATATTATGTCTCTATGTCGATGATTTGTTGATAACAAGAAGTTGTTAGAAGGAGATCGAAGATTTCAAACATGACCTAGGTGAGGAGTTTGAAATGTCATACTTGGGAAATCTCTCATATTTCCTTGGCATCGAATTCTGTAAGAGTAATAGAGGTTTGATGATACACCAAAAAAGATATGCAGGCAAAATACTCAAGATATTTGAGATGCAAGATTGCAATCCAACTTTGACTACAACTGAACCTAGAATGCAATTATCGAAAGACACAGATGAAAATATGTCAATCTAATGCAGTATAGAAGACTCATTAGATCACTCCGATACCTTTGTCACACATGGCCTGATCTAGCATACAGTGTAATTCTTTGTGTCAAAGCAAATTGCTCAATAGGGATAAGGAAGTTGTCAAATAACCTTGTGTGTGTCATAACACCTAGTTGTCAAAGTGCTGATGAGCTAGTCTCAACATGGATTTGTCTTAAACCTAATTTTGTAGTGTTAGCAAGATTAAGTATTTTAGGCTTTTGTTTTTGGGCTTTGCTTAGGGAGCAAGCAAGCTAAATCTATAAATAGGGAGTAACCCTATTATTGTAGTGTGATTCACTTGAATAAAATTGTAGTTTTGAGAGCAAAGAGTTACTCTGCAGAAATTCTCCTTCTTCCCATATTTTAGTTTTGAATCCCTAATTTCCTTTCTTTCCAATTCAACCTTTTCTTGATTTCGTCACCATTGTGCATCATCACAACCTTGCAACCAAGGTTGGTTGATTCACTCGAGTGAAGAGTGAAGAACAAGAGAGAGAGAGAGAGACTTTGATCGATGTGATTGAATCTTATTCATCAAGATTGATTCAAAATTACTCAAAGTTTTGGATTTAATTCCAACAAACCTAACCCATCAACTACATATTAGCTCTAAAAGGATAATAGAACATAAAAAATAAAAGTGATATGTAAAAGAAAACAAATTGGAAAAAAACCAGTAAATAATCAAATGCGAAGCAAATAAATACACACAAAGCATAATCCAACAAATCCGACGCGGGGCCCAAAATCAAATTGCAAAAGAAAATTATGTAAAAAGTCGCAAGCATTCTAAACGAACCAAAGATGAACTTGAAAAATATAATTCATTTTTCTGGTATGCTAAATGTTTCAACTGCCAACACGAGCAAATACACGTACCAACAACTCATGTGAAATAAACCACAACAAGCTTAACAACTCTTTCAAGCCTAATCAAACCAGACCCTAACAAGCTAGTTCAAAAACATTCTATCGGACAATAACAAAACATCATATAAGGGACGAGGCTATAACCACCGCAAAACCACTAGTGTTGTGCCATATTCCAAGACAACGAAAACTGTAGATTTTAACAAATCTAAAAAGAACCATAGATCAAAGTCAAGATTCCACCACCGACACTAGTGAGTTGTATCTTGAAAAGCAGATTCGAAAATAACAATCGAAAACAAATCAAAATTCTATAAAGTAACAACGAACCAACCACCGACGTTAGAGAAACAAAAACGACCACCGAAATACCGCAACTTGGAACACTCTACTGGAGAACTTTGCGAAGAAATCTTCTCTAAGAGCTTTGATCAATATAGAACCAACCGCTAGAAAAACAGAACAAGCAGCAGAACTATAACATCCAGACCCCGATGCAACGTTAATAGCATGTCAATCCCAGATAGGTGAAATGTGGAGTGGTCTGAGAGGCGTCACGCCACCACCATATAGATCAACATCGCTACAAAAAGTTTTAAATATAAAAAGGATGGAAGGGAAAAAAAAGGTCTTCAATAAAATAAAATAAATTATTTGAAAATTATTTTAAAAAGTATGATGCATTAATTTAGAAAAAAAATTTATTTTCTTAAGAAAAAAAACTCTTAGCCAATTATGCAATAAAAGGATCATGCGTTTTTTTTTAAAAAACTAGATCTTTAACTTTTCTAAAAATATAAATAACCAAAATAATCTTAAACAATTTAGAGCACATTTTTTCACCCCTAGATTTCTTATATAAAAACAATACACCACCTTTAAAATATATCCCTTGACAAATACTCAATTTAAATTTCAAGTTGTACAATAAAAAAACACATCTCATACAAAAAAAAATAGTTTTACAAAACAAAAATTAAAAATCAAATACATGATGGTGAATCCTTGAGTAAAAAAAAATCTTTCCAAACCTTATTAAAAAATAAAAAACATTATTCAAGTTAGAAGACAAGACTTTGAAAGTGGGTGGACCTAACGGGCTTTAGTCGCAACAAAACCGGGTCGGTGAAACTAACTTCGAAAACCAAAACCGCCTTTGTTGTTACCAAATCCAACGGCAGTCCATAGAGACACATAACCGATACCGATACATCGAAAAGCAGGCCATTTTTTCCTTTTTCAACTTTCTGTCTTGTTTCTCAATCCATCAAAATCACTATATATAAAACCCCAAAACCCTCTTAATTCATCACTCTCATACCCAAATCTAAACCTAACCCTCTCGATTCATTTCCAAAAATCCTTCTTTTTCATCGATCATGTCGCACTTCAAGAGCAAGTACCATGGTATATTAGTCTTTCTTCTTTTTCTTAGATCTAGTTTTGTTACGATCTTAACCTTTTGGATCTTGTTGATTTTGTTTTTACTTGATTTTTATGGATCTGTACTTGTTGATTTGTTTTAGTGTGTTTTTGGTTTGTGGATTTCAGATCTAACTTTTTGTGAATTTTGTGACTTTTGTTTTTTGTTTTTTACTGTGATGTGATCTCAGATACTGGAACGTTTTGGGTTTGGCTTGTTGAATTTTGCTTCTTGATTAGGTTTTCTGTTTTCAATTATTCTTATTAAACGTGATTTGTTTTATGATATTTGTTTTGTATTAGTTAGCATGATTCAGTTTCTAATTATCTATGTTGAATCTGAGTTGCTGTTTTTCAATATTTTATGTTACTGATTTTGAATCTCAAATTGAAAATTAGGTTAGTTTGTAGAGAAAATCAAAATCAACAGTTAGTTTTGTAGATCTCTTAATGGTATTATGGTATAAAAATTTGTTTACTTTATAAATTTGATACCACTGCTAGTGATTTAAATTTGGGTTTGTTTGTGTCTAATAATGTTTATTTTTGGGAATTTATTTACTATATTGTTTTTTTTAAGGTTTATATTTGTGTTAGTGCTAATACTGATTATGAACAAATTTGCAGATGAGCTTATTGCCAATGCTGCCTACATTGGCACACCTGGTAAGGGTATTCTTGCTGCTGATGAGTCAACTGGAACAATAGGTAAGCGTTTAGCGAGCATCAATGTTGAGAATGTTGAATCCAACAGGCAGGCTCTTCGTGAGCTTCTTTTCACTGCCCCTGGTGTTCTTCAGTACCTCAGTGGAGTTATCCTATTTGAGGAAACCCTTTACCAGAGCACTGCTGCAGGTACTCCCTTCCAACAATAATTTGTGTTTTATCTTTAATGTCTTGTCCTTTAATTGTTCCATCAGTTGCTTTTAACATGTCATGTCTGTTGCTTAAAGGTTTGTGTCAGTAAAGTTTGGGACATGAATTATAGTCAGTCGCCTTCAACATGTTTTGTTACCACGTTGATGGCTTTGAAAATACATTATAATGACGTCTATTGCTTTGTATTAGTAAAATTTTGGAACATGGTTGATCTCAATTGCTTTCAACATGTTTTCTTATCATGTCACTGGCTTTGAAATGGTATGTGGATTTTATTATGGTGGGGCTGTTTCTGTCTTTGGAATGGTATGTGGATTTTATTATGGTGGGGCGGTTTCTGTCTTTGGTATGTGAATTAAGATTGATAATATTGTTTTTCTTCAGGCAAGCCTTTTGTTGATGTTTTGAATGAAGCTGGTGTTCTTCCTGGTATCAAGGTTGACAAGGGTACCGTTGAACTTGCTGGGACTGATGGAGAAACCACCACTCAGGGTCTTGACGGCCTTGGTGCACGATGTGCCAAGTACTACGAAGCCGGTGCACGTTTTGCTAAATGGCGTGCTGTACTTAAAATCGGTGCCAACGAACCATCAGAGCACTCGATCCATGAGAATGCTTACGGTTTGGCCCGTTATGCCGTGATATGCCAAGAGAACGGACTTGTACCCATTGTTGAACCCGAGATCCTTGTTGATGGTTCACACGATATCCTCAAGTGTGCTGCCATTACCGAGCGTGTCCTTGCCGCAACATACAAGGCCTTGAGTGATCATCATGTCATCCTTGAAGGAACTCTCTTGAAGCCAAACATGGTAACACCCGGATCCGATGCACCAAAGGTTGCACCTGAGGTTATAGCCGAGCACACCGTTAGAGCTTTGCAGAGAACCGTACCAGCTGCAGTTCCAGCTGTTGTTTTCTTGTCTGGTGGACAGAGTGAAGAAGAGGCCAGTGTTAACCTCAATGCCATCAACCAAATCAAAGGTAAGAAGCCATGGACTCTTTCATTCTCTTTCGGAAGGGCACTTCAACAGAGTACCCTTAAAGCATGGGGTGGAAAGAAAGAAAATGTGAAGGCAGCTCAAGATGCTTTGTTGACAAGAGCTAAGGCTAATTCTGAGGCTACTCTTGGAACATACAAGGGTGCCTCTAACCTTGGTGCTGGTGCCTCAGAGAGTCTTCATGTTTCGAACTACAAATATTGATTAATGCTGGTTTCTTCTCCCTTAAAAGACTAGTAGAGGGTTGAATTTCTTGTTTTTGAGTATAGTGGGGTTCACTCACGACAAAATAATTGGGTTGGAGTTTTTGTTTTTTCTTTGTTTCTTGATAATTTCAGTTTCAATCTATTTGGTCAATTATCTGGCGGATATGTCTACAAAAGTTTGGTTTTATGAGACACTATTGTAACTCAAGATCTTTGTTTTCTTCGCAATTATCTAGCTTTGTTTTCTTCACATTTTAACTGATGAAAAATATGCTTTTCCATTGTTTTTGATTTAGAAATTTATAATTGGAAATCTATACTAATTTACTAATATTTATTTGAACTGTTTGAACAAAAAAAATCAAATTAAATTTAGGGTCAATTAGGAATAATTCTATAATTATATGCAGTATTGAATTTTTCTTATTTAGGACCAAATTATATAGTAAGTGATTAAAGATTTAAATGTTATGGTATAATTAGATTTTTGCAAAATTCGTACAAATGCACGGACTTTTACCGGTTAAGATTAGAAGGGATATATTTACAAATGTGAAAAATACATAACTAAGTTAAAATGAGAAGTTTTTAACAATTCATAGGATTCCGGAATCTTCTCCGTATCAAGCCCTTTTGTTTTGTTTTATTCAATACAGTTGTTTCTAGTAAGTTCTGTAAAGGTGGAGAAAGAAGATACTAGGATTTGGAGCTTATTTGTGGGGCTAGTTGTCTGGGCCAAGCTGGAAGAGTTTAAAAATAAAGGGAGAAACATAATACTTTGATATACGGAAAGATCAGAATTTACCATATATGGAGATTTTATGGGATATGGATCTACGGAAAGATCAGAATTTACCATATATGGAGATTTTATGGGATATGGATCATGAAAGATATTTGAATATCAAATCGGAGGATTATAGGGCTCAGGTTTTAAAGTAGTGGAGTTTACATGTTAGACCATCTCCAGCAAGGTTTTTCATTATGGTTCGCCAGCGTGACAGCCAATTTTTTGACCAAAGCATTGTTTTTCATCATGGTTCTCTAGCGTAGCAGTCAATTTTTTGACCAAAGCATTGCACAACTGTTCACCGGATTAAAATTATGCAACAGCATTTCAACGGTTATTTTTTATATTTTTATTTTCAACTTATTTTTTTATTATAAATGTAATTTTTAGAAAAAATTTTACCAACACAATTTTCTCTCACTTTTATTTTCTCCTCAATTTCAAATTTCTCTCACAATTTTATCATTTTATTCGTAAATTTTTAATTTTTTTTCAACAATTCTTCTCATTAGACTTCTTTTGACGAAATATTTAACCCAAATTTTCATTTCTTTTTTCAAATTACAATTGTTCAGGGTAAATGGATCATAATCATTTTTATTATCAACAAACTATGTTCAATTACATGTAAAATTCTCAAAATCCTAATCATCAAAATTTTCAAATTTCATCGGTACCAACAAACCCCGCCATATTTTTTCCGTCACCAAACAATCCAAATATGTATCTTAGAGCTGAAATAAATTCTAATAGTATAGGATTTTCTACTCAAGTTCCATCATTTTCTACTAAAATTGGTACTAAAAACGACCAGAGGGTTGCCGTTAAAAAAAATCTCGAGAGCAATTTACAAGGGATAAGGATATACAACTTATCCAACCATAGCTCAATGTTTCAAAGGATCCAATTGTGGGAGTTGATCAAAAGACTGGGAGTTTTTGGTTAAGAATCGCTGCCAATTATAACCAGTATCGTGGAAAAGAACGGAAAATGTTAGGGGGACAATTAAAATGTCGATGGCATCGAATAAATGGCCTGGTTCAAAAATTTGTTGGGTGTTACAAACAAGCTGTTAATGGAAAGAAAAGTGGGACATCGGAGAACGATATCATGGCCGCTGCACATGCTTTTTTTGCTCAGGATCAAGGTGCAACATTCAATCTTGAGTAGACATGGCGATTGTTAAAACATGAACCTAAATGGATCGGAGAATCGATTGGAAGTTCTTCAAAAATAACAAAGGCTTCTGCTAGTAAGGCATCATCGGAGAATTCAGATGCACCTTCAAGTTATGAGTTTAACTCATCATCACCAATGGAGCGTCCAATGAGACAAAAAGCAGCAAAAAGGAAGGGTAAGGCAAATGAAATTCCAGCTACAACGCAAGATGCAAGGAATAAAAGAACAACGACAATGAAAAGACTAGAGCAATGTAAGGAGGACGAGATAGAATTAAAGGTAATGCAAATCATGATGAAAGACACTTCTACTATGAGCGATAGTCAACAAGATATTCATGAAAAATATTGTAATAAGATGAAAAAAAATATGGAATGTAGTTAGTATCACTTATGTAAAATGGTAATCAGTACCACTCTAATTTATCAACACCTATGTAAAATGGTCAGTAGTACCACTTTAGTTTATCAACACTTATATAAAATGGTCATTAGTACCACTTTAAATTATAATAAATATTATGTTATTCAAACTAGCCGTTATTCAAACTAGTCGTTATTCAAACCATTATAACAAGCTAGCCGGTATTCAAACTAACCGTTATTCAAACCATTATATATACTACCACTTATGTAATTGTTTTCTCATTCTCATCTTATTCTTCTCTCATTTTTCTCTCATTCTTTACTCACTAAAATGGATTAAGACAATTCAGATAATTACGATCAAGAACTTAGGGAGTTGATCAAGAATAACAACTTCAGAATGAACGTCAATCTGGAAGTTCCTCTCGACCAAAGAGAAGAACAACAGTATATCGAGGTCGTGAAGAAGGGCACAATCAATTATTTAATGACTACTCAAAAAATTCAGTATACACAAATGTTCAATTTCGAAGAACGTTTACAATGCATATGCATGTATTTCTTCGAATTGTAGATGTTCTAGGAAATCATGATGGATATTACCAAATGAGGGTCAATGCAACTGGTAAAACGAGGTTTTCACCATTGCAGAAATGTACATCTGCTATTCGTATGTTGGCGTATGGGTTTCCTGCTAACCTTGTAGATGAATATGTTTGAATCAGTGAAAGGACTTCAATTGAGTGCTTACAAAGATTCGTTTAGGGCGTGAATGCTGTATTTGGGGATGAGTATTTAAGAAAGTCTAACAACACTGATGTTGAACATCTTTTATAAATGGGAGAGTCACGTGGCTTTCCAGGTATGTTGGGTCCCATTGATTATATGCATATGGAAAAATTGTCCTGTTGCATGGAAAAGACAGTATTGTCGAGGTGATCATGGTAATCCCACAATCATGCTTGAAGCAGTGGCATCACAAGACTTATGAATTTGGCATCCTTTTTTTGGTATTGCAGGTTCAAACAATGACATTAATGTGTTAAACTAATCCAACGTATTTAACCATATTTTGGAAGGACATGCTCCTAATGTGCAATATACAATCAATGAGGCACCATATAATATGGGGTATTATTTAGCAGATGGTATATATCTTGAGTGAGCTACATTTGTCAAGACCATTTCAATGCCACAGGGAGAAAAGAAAAAATTATTTGCTCAACATCAAGAATCAGCTAGAAAAGATGTCGAGCGGGCATTTGGAGTGCTTCAATCTTAATTTGCAATTATATGTGGCCCAACGCGTGCTTGGCACATGGAGACCCTCAAGCATACCATATATGTCTGCATCATATTGCACAACATGATTATAGAAGACGAACGACATACATATGAAGGTAATTTTGATTACTCTTATGATAATGTGGATAACAACAACTCAACAACTGAAACATTTAGCGGTCCTCATCCGAATCTTGCAACAAGACTACAAAGAAGAGCAAGTATTCGTGAAAAACAAGTTCATCGTCAACTTCAAGGAAATCTTGTCGATTATATTTGGGAACATTTTGGACATGAATACGATGAAATTTAAGTTTGATTAATTATGTGATGTTATTTATTTTTATTGTTTTTAATTATATGTCATGTATTTGAGATTAATTTTAATTATCATTTTAAATTATAAGTTTAATTTGAATTTTATTTATTTTGTATCAATTTTAATTTGAATAACTAAAATTATTATTTTAAGTGATATAAAATTTAATATGAATAGAATATTAATATATAAAGTAAAGTCGTGGGACTCAATATGAGTTCTTCAGAGTTGCACCATTGGAGTGAAAAACTAGTTGAGTTGCTTCAAGCTGACGTGGCTTAATAGGTTCCACAAAGAACCAAAAAACGGGTTCACGGTTGGAGATGCACTTAGTTCTAATTCATGCTATCTTGATCATAAAAGGAAGATTTGTTTATTTCAAAAACAGGGATACAAGAATCATGCGCATGAACATATTTGATATCATTAAAGGAGAAGAGGATTTGCTGAGACTACCTAACCAGGACTAGTTTAAAAATCCAATGGAAGCAAAGTTTATTTCAGCAACTTATGTGGTCATCCATTAGAAAATTCAGTCTCATATATCTTGGTATTCTTGTTAGCTTTTGTATTATGGAGCGGTCCAACATTCCTGAGCACGATGGTATTGAACGAATTAATATTGATCCTGCCATGCTTGCACCTGAAGATTTTCTGGATCTCTATCTTGTTGGCTCTCTGCTGACTAACATATCCATGAGATTCAATGCCTTGAAAGACAGGCTAGATCATGTGTGATAAGGTGTTGCAATCTCAAAAATACAAGAGAACAAATTCTTGTTTTAATTCTATCACGCGTGGGACTTGGAGAGAGTGTACCAAGGAGGTCCGTGGATTTTCGAAAATTCTTGCTAATCTTAAGGAGGTTGAAGTTTAAGGAGAAGCTTATCACCATACTCATGAACGAAGTTGACATATGGGTCCAAGTTCACCAACTCCCATTTGGTTTCATGAATGAGGATATTATTATTCTCATTGGAAATCATATTGGAAAGTTTATCTCGTATGATGAATAAAATACTTATAGTACTTGGAGAAAATACATGAGAACTCGGGTAGCT